GAGGCTCCTGAAAATAACTTTGGATAGATAACTTTGATGAAACTAACTTGAAAGGACCTTATCCATTAATGAAACTGAACCAGAAGTTACATCTGGAGACACACATGACTATGTAAAAGAACTGAGGCCACAGAGAGAAGTAAGTGTTAATTGCAAGGTGTGAAAGGAAGATTTTTTAGGTTCTGGGCATGACAATGTGTAGAACAGGAGCCACCATAAAAGAAGAGGTTTCTGGAGAAATCTACAGCATGGAACAGTGAGGCAGGGAGAAATCTCCACTAATCTCCCACGACTGTGATAGCAGAATGCTTGCCTGGAAGAGAGCATTCAGAACCACTTCCTCCTAGGGGCAGAAGGCAGAGTACCTAAGGCCATGATGGGACCGGGCAATCTATAAAATCCTAACTCGGAGTCAGAGAGAACAGAAGTGGCAGGCCTACCAGATGAACTAATATGACAAGGTATAATGAGTCTTTCTAATGAGAAAGGGACACATTCACTCTTTCACCTTTGGCAGAGAAAAGAAGGCGGAAAGGCTGTAAGAATCAGAAGAAAAGAGTTGAATCAGCTCTTTGTGATGAGTGTCGGGAATCTAACCCCTGGAAACCTCACTTCTAGGAGGTCCACAAGAAGTCACCCACCTTCCCCTGCAGGAAGCAAAAGTCTTCATTGCTGGGGAGGGCAGGCACCCTGTGTCCAGGGCCAGGCCTGATCCACTGGCTGAGAGGAGGGAAATGAGCCCTTTACTCTGAGATGCAGGCACTGCACACAGGCCCAGGACCAGCACTGAAACAAGGCCCAGGTAAAACACAGGGCAGTCTGGCTACATGGGACAGAGACAGTGGCAGGCTTGAGAGAATGCTGACCTTAAGGTCCCAGGTACAAGGCTATCCCCAAGTCAAGCTGGACAGAGCAACTGAGAAAGTGCCACCATGAAGTGACCTGTGCCAAGTAGAAAGTAGAGAGACCCTGCACCAGGCCTACATGAGCACAAGGATACAATGCATGCCACAATAGACAGTTTGGCACAAGGGCTCATTCAGCTCCCCAGGATCATGGCCAGGTGACAGTACCAGTCCAGTGATCTCTATGCACTGTCTATCACTTGACCAAACAGAATGAGAGGCAGAACCAAGAGCAGTACTTAGGGAATGAGATGGTGTTGTACAGGAAAAGAGAGGACTGGAGATCATCGTGTTAACAGAGATCACCCACATCACCTGTTTTCACTCTTATGTGGAACCCAGACCTAAAGAACAAACAAACACAAAAAGGGATTGACTGAAGAGAGGAAGACAACCAGCAGGTGGGGGAGGGTAAGGAGCAAGTGATGGGAGTATTACACCAGCACATGGGAAAGCAGGGCTGGAAGCACGCCTGAGTTCACACCCCAGTACTGCCAAAAAAACTCCCCAAAAACCCCACCGAACACTATAAAAAAGGAGGGGGAGGAAGAAGGAGAAAAAGACGGTGAATCTGATCAAAGTACATTACATACATGTTGTAAATATCGTAATGAAATCCCTTTGTATAATTAATTTATGCTAATAAAATATTGAATTAAACCAGCAATTTCTCAGGAACAACACCACAAAGGAACAACACTTAAGGAAAAAAATGGTAATGCTAATTCTATCCAAACTCTCTCCAAAAGAAAAAGAGACAGGGACACATCTCAAGTGACGTTCGTAAGCAGCATCCCTAACAAAATTTGAACAAACCAATGAAGCAACATGTGCCATGTCTTCTGCAAAAACATTCACAGCAACTTTTGTCAAAACAGTCCAAATCTGGGGGTGTGGCTCAAGTGACAGAGCACTTGCCTACCATGCATGAGGTCCTGGGTTCAATCCTTAGTACTGCAAAAAACAAAACAAAATAGGTCAAATCTGGAAAAAACCCAAAGGTTCATCAATTAACTGGGTATTGGGTAAACTTACCAGTTTAGCTGCACAACTTTTTCAATAAAAAGAAGCAAACTCCTGATGTATGCAACAACATGGATAACTCTCAAAAGCACTGACCCACGCAGAGGTTTATGGGACACTCTTGATAAAGCAGAACTTTAGAGATAAGACCAGGTCCAAAGCCAGGAATGGTGGAGCACACCTATAATCCCAGTGCTCGTGAGGCTGTGACAGAAGGATCACAAGCTCGAGGCCAGCCTGGGCTACATGTTCTACATTTTAACAATGCAACGAGTTTTTTTTAAGCTGGGGAATTTTTCCTGACTATAAACTATTTATTATCTTAAAAGACTAGCAATCTTAAACCAGTGTCAACAAAGAGAGTGAACTGCAGTCAGTGAGTCTATATATACGGGCCAGCACTTGCACCTCTGCAGTGGCTAAGGTTGATGTTTTGAGTGAGGAGAGAAAGCCTCCCTGGACAGGATGATGGTCACCAGGACAAACTGCCAGTGAGGGACTGAGAGCCTCTAAGGCATAGCTGATTTGGTGTACACAGGAGGACAGCAGCAGCCTTCCCAACACAGGCAGGCTACATACCAGGACAGGGATGGAGCAGGAAGGAAATATAACATTCAGGATACACATGAATAAACACACACAAAGACACACACATGAGCTTTAGTCAGTGAAAAGACTTCAGAATGCCAACTGATATATCAGTAATACTAAACAGTCTCCCATTAAAAAGTGGAGAAAGGACCCAATGCTTAAGTAGACACAGAAAGCTGTTATGCGAAAAATGCTAAAACGATCTGAAGGGAAAAGCCAGGTGTGGTGGCACAGGCCTGTAATCCCAGCACTTGGGAGACTGAAACAGAAGGATCATGAGTTGAAGTTCAGCCTGGGCTGAATAGTGATATCCTGTCTCAAAAAAAAAAGAAAGAAAAAGAAAAAGATACAGTGGCTCACACTAGCTATCTGGGAGGAGAGATGGATGGGGAGGACTGCAATTTAAGGCCAGCTGGGGATGGGAGGAAATAGCAAAAAGACCAATCCGAATCACTAAAAAGCTAGGCATAGAAAAAGAAAAAAACAAAATGAAAACATAATGGTGCACGTCTGTCATCCCAGCTATGGGGGAAGCATAAATGGAGGACTGAGGTCCAGGTTGGCCCCAGCAAAAGTGTGAGACCTATCTGGAAAAGCACATAAAGCAAAAAGGTCTGAGAGAGTGACTCAAGTGGCAGAGCACCTGTGTAGGATAGCAAGTGCCTGAGTTCAAACCCCCAAAACAAGACAAAACAAAACATCTCAGGGAGAAAAAGTGTCTGACTTTCTTTCTGAATCTCTAGTGGTGGAGTTACAGTCTTTTACTCTCTGTTCATTACTTTACTCATTAACTTTCATGCTTTGGGCACCTAGTATATGTCAGGCCAGACACAGCTCTTAATAAAAAATATACAATAGTTGCCTCTATGGAGCTTATGCTTTAGTGAGAAGAGAAATAAGTAAGTAAAACATACAGTACACTAGAAATAGGATTAAGGAAGAGAAACCAAGCAGGAACTGGGGGCTTGTACGAAGGGGCCAAGTGGGAAGTCCACCTCTAGTCTGATAAACACTGAAGCTCCAGGGTTAGCTACTAAAGGTGTGCACTGAAACTGGCACTAGAGTGGTGGGTGCTGCCATCTAGGAGCCCTTGCCCAGTGGCTGCCTGAATGGAGGTAGCAAGAAGAAGGCAAAGCCTGGGAGGTGGAAAGTCACCCGCACGGGCCAAACATTCCTTAAACTGTCACTGGGACTAACCCAAAACAGGAAGGCCGTGACTACAAACTGTTACTGGCTGCATGTAGCAACGAGTCAGAAGGAAAAGAAGAGCTCGGAGAACAGTCTGCTTGGCTGTGCATGGTGACGCATGCCTGTAACTCCAGTTACTCAGAAAGCAGAGATCGGGAGGATCTTAATTTGATGCCAGTCCTAACAAAAAAGTTAGCAAGACCCTAGCTCAAATAATAAAACCAGACATAGTGGTGCATGCCTGTCATCCCAGCTACATGGACAGGTATAAATAGAGGAGGCTGTGACTGGCTCAGACAAAAACACAAGACCCTATCCAAAAAATAACTAAAGCAAAAAACAAATAAAGCCTGGCACTGGTGGCTCACACCTGTAGGCCTAGCTACTTGGGAAGCTGAGTTCAAGGGGATCGTGGGTCAAGGCCAGTTCAGCAAATAGTTCACAAGACCCCATCTTCAAAACAACCAGAGCAAAAAATGGACTAGAGATGTGGCTCAAGTGGTGGAGTGCCTTGCTTTGCAAGTGCAAAGCCCTGACTTCAAAACCCAGTCCCACCAAAAAAAACCAAAAACCAAAAAACACCAATTCAACATATAAAAGATTAGGGGCATGGCTGAAGTGGTAGAGTGCCACTTGAACTCACAAGGCACTGAGTTCAAACCCCAGAACCACAAGAAAAAAAAAAGAAAAAAAAAATCTAGTTGCTTGAAATCAACCAAAAATCAAAGGGAAGAGAACAGACTAGAATTTGGAGCTTCTGCTACAGAGGCCAACTCTAAATCCCAAACAAGTATGAAAGCCCTTTTTGGAACAAGAACCTACTGTGACTCAACACAGGTTAAGGATCAGATCAAGCCTAATGGCCTCAATATGGCCTCCATTAACACAGGGAATCAAGGGAAAGGGAAGAGCAGGCTTGAGAATCCATCAGAAGACTTTCAAGTGAGTTACCAGCAAACAGAGTTGTCTAGAACTAAAAACATGAAAGGCCCACTAGCTTTTTAGGAAACTTCATCACTAAGGAAATCCGGAGCCCGAACTAAAAAGCCAAAACCACCTGGTGGGTTGTTGGTCTGCCGGCTGTGTCCAGACAGGGATGGCAGACGCCCTCCACATACTGTGGATGCAGACAGGAAAGGCTGGAAGAGGCATCCCAGAGAGTGGGCATGAGGCAGAAGATGGCGCAGAAGGAAGCACCCTGATAGCAGACACAAACCCTTTCCTTCCACAGCCAGCTAGTCCGCAGCCCACAAGGGAGGAGCCATGAGCCCGCTCATGCTGGCAGCCACTCACCGGCTGGTCAAGGCCGCCGTGCCTCTCCTCCTTCTCCACGGTCCTCCGGCAGTCTGGGCACACCCACAGCGGCAGGTGCAGCACACTGTTGCCCTTGGGAGCCATAGAAAGGGCCAATTTGCTCGAAGTCTTAACTCCACTCTCTAAGAATGAAGAGTCTTTCCGTTCACTTCTGCATAGAAGACAATAATCCCCAGCGGGGTAGGGTGGTGTCCTATGATTCATGCCAAAACTAAAAGGAGTCTGGAACAGAAAGAAGAATTCTATTTTCAAAACCTGATCCACAAAGCCAAGATTGTTAATATATATATATAGTTCTAAAATAAAATGCTTATGTGTGTTTATGTAGAGAAACAAAATAGGAAACTTGTTGAATAAAACGGAACCTAGTGTTCTAGAAACTTGTAATACTTCAAATAAAAGAGTAACACCTATAGAAAGATCTAGTAGGAGTTAGAAAATTGTCCACTTAACCCTCAAGTAATACGAACACTGTTGTATTACTTCCCTCAAGGGAAACTGTTAGCCTCAATTTTCAGACCATGAGCAAGCACAAGAACTATTAGCGATTAACATGTCCTACAGATGCTTTGACAGGCAGTTGCACACAAGGGCTTGCTCTAAGGCAGCAACTCTGGCTCAAGACCATCTCTGACAGGTGCTGTCTACCTAGATTCCAGGTAAACAACAAAGACCCTGATAGCAGCCTTACAGCCAAGCCCCAGACACCATTCCAGGCTACACAATAAGCATGCTGAATTCACCACGTTACCCAATTTCAATAAATGCTTTTCCGAAAAGTCCTAAACTGTGGGGTAAAGTGGGGGTGGGGGATACTGAAGAAGAGGCAAGATTATCTTCTCCAAACAGTTACTAACCACCCTGTTAGCAAAGTAAAACTGGCCTTAGAAACACAGAAAAAGGAGACAAGACTTAAGGGTTTGGAACAAGGTCTAACATTCCATGGTCAGCAAGGGGGGAGCCAAGATTTTAACGCAAATCAGATAACTCCAAGATGGGCCCCTCACACAGTGCTGCTGTGAGCCTGCTGAGGACACCTCAGGTCCTGGAGCGGACCCAGACGCACAAGGCAGGCTGGCAGAGGCTGGCACTGGCCCTGAAGAGCCAAACTACACTACAGGGTTGTATGGCAGAATACTCCTGTCTAGCATACATTGTGGGAGGAAGGAAAGGACTAGTCTCCAGCTCCACCCAAAGGCTCCTCTGTTGGTGCCTGCCTGGCCCTGCCTAGCTAGCTCCTCAGCTCACCACTCTTTTCCCTGTCCTATCAGCAATGCTCAACCAGACTGGAAGTATGTGTTTGTGTGTTGACATGACTGGCCCCATGCCAAATGAGAGCTCCCAAATAGACCCCAGGCTGTGGGCAACAGGACTTAAACATGGGGCTCAATAAAAAATGCAAAGAAGTGACAGCACCTCTCGATGTAAAAGACTTTCACACACATTCTTACATGTTCTTATAAAACAGTGGTTAAAACTGCATGTGCCTGTCATATCTACAAGACTCTGTGGGCTTAACCAGACCCCACTCAGCAGCCATCTGAGTATGTAGGAGGTGAGGAGGGAACTAAGTATTGTCTTCAGTAGCGTCCTGGCAGACTCCAGACTCTCCTCCACCAAAACCAAAACAAACAAAAAACCCCCACAGAGCACAGGAGAGCTTTTCTTTTTCTATACCAACAGATCATTACAATTTAAAAACTCACATTGATTTAACCCCTGCAAAGCCATCTCTTCCATGTCCCAGAAGACAGACCTGTCACAGACCAGCCACAGCCATTAGACTTCAAGGGCCGCCCATCTACCATAAAAGGATATCCTGGACTGCATGGCTACAAAGTTTCAGGTTGGAAGTATTCTTGTGAGAATGAGACTACCTTGAGACACCTGCTCAGCACCACACTCACCAGGTTAATGTCCCTGATCTGAAATGCATTTCAGATCTGGAGAAATATTTTTACCAAAGATAGAACAAAAATAACAAGATAAATTAATAAAAATACAGATGGGTGCAGCAGCTCGCACCTATAACCCTAGCTACTCGTGAGGTAGCAATCAGGAGGATCACTCAGCCTGTCAAAGAAATTCATGAGACCCCATCTCAATCAATAAAAATTGAGTGTGGTGGGGCACATCTCTCATCCCAGCTATATTGGAAGTGTAAATAGGAGGACTGTGGTGTAGACCAGTCTGGGCATAAAAGTGAGACCCCATTTGAAAAACAACTGAAGCAAAAAGGTCTGGAGGTATGGTTCAAGTGGTAGAGTGCTTGCCTACCAAGCACAAGACCCTGAGTTCATCAAACCCCAGTAACCACCCCCCCCCCCAAAATATGTAACATTAGGTACAGACAATTGATGAGAAAAACAGAAACAGGAAAGAATATCTGGGACTGAGATGGGTGGGCACCCTCCTTTTGCAGGCACAGTGAGGGCCTCCCTGGTGGTAACACCTATGGAAGAACACCAAGACCCAGCACAAAGGCCCTAAGGCAGCAGGTGCTAAGCACTGACTGCACTGTGTAGCACAGAGTAGGGCTGGAAAAGGCAGTGAAGATGAGCAGGATGGCAGTGGCTTCAAGCCAGACATGAGGAGTGACAGGGAAAGAAGGGTCAAGGGCAGCTCTGCGGGTCTGGACAGGGAAGTAAACAGTTCTGGGCCCAGGAAGACAATCCCACAAACATCTGAAATCCATTCTGCTCCAGGCTGGCCCCCTTTTAGGACAGAGAACAGTGAAGAAGTAAATGCAGAAAGCACAAAAGATCCTGTTCTTATTCTAAAGGGACAGTAAACAAGCAAACTCAGACAGGAGCAACAGGATATTGTCCGAGAAGAAAACAAAGTTGGCAAGAGACGAGGAGGTGGTATTGTCTTTTTTTTTTTTTTTTAAAGAGCTGGCCTTGAGCTCCTGGGCTCAAGAGATCCTCCTGTCTTAGCCTCCCAAGTAGCAGGGACTACAGGTGTACACCGAGCCTAGCCAAGAGTGGTATTTTAACAAGAGCAAAGTAGAGACCCAAATGCTAACGAGAAAAAGAAATGACGATGTGCAGACCTGAGAGATGAGCACTGTAGACAGAGGGGACAGTTCATGAACACTGGGCAGGAGCTAGAGCTTCCAGAGCAAGTGGGCCCAGCAAAGTCAGAGGACAGCCAAGGGCAGGTCACTAAGGCTTATGGTTCTAATATGGGCAGTGGCATGACCCAATTTCATTTAAAAAGAAAATTTGCCATACAAAACATGTCTCTAAATTAGGTATGATGCCTGTTATCCCAATTACTCAGGAGGCAGAGGCAGTAGGATCACTAGTTTGAGGTCAGACCAGGCAAAATTAGCAAGACCCCAACTCAAAAAGAAAACACCAAACAAAAAGGCTGGATTTTGGGCTCAAGTGGTAGAGTGCTTGCTTAGCAAGCATGAGGACCTGGGTTCAATCCCTAATGCAGTCCAAAAGGAAAAAAAAGAACTCCCAGGAACAGTGACGTAAGAGACACTACTGAAGGCAGCTATAGGTGCAGGGAAAAGACAGGTAGTGTAGGCTCAGTGGCAGCCAGGAAAAGGAGGGCAGTCAGACTTGGGGATGTAAAAGGTGAGTCTCTGAGGGGTCCAGAGGACTGGGCTTAAGTCCTTGGGGCAATGATCAGGTCAACTACAGAGATGCTGGGGACCAGAGGACAGGCTGGCCGCTGTCCTCTGAAGTAGAACCTTCAATGTGGAGTTTTTGTTTGTTTTGCATGAGTGATACACTTGGGATAGGTCAACTTAGACACACTGTATATTTGGCATCACCAGTACATGAGATGTCTAAAGCCAGAGAACTAGTTGAGGTGAAAAAGACTCTCCATACCTTTTGCCGAAAAAAAGCAAGTATCAGTTCACTACAACACACACATAGACACCTCATACCTGACTGAAATCTAAATGTACCAAAGCCACTGTCTTCTGCTTGGTTACTTTCTTAACTATGGTTAAGTGTGAGGTGCAGATAAGAATTCCATTGATTCCTTCAAAAATAGTTACAGCTGTATTAACACATTGAAAGTGTCTAACCTAGAGCTGATCATGGTAGCACACATTTGTAATCCCATCACTCAGGAGGCTGAGGTAGTAGATCAGGTCAGCTTGAGCTACACAGCAGGACCCATCTCTCTCAAACATCCAAAAAGGAAAAAAGTGTGCAATATGCATAGTGTTCACAGATGCCCAATGAAACCATCCTCATCATCAAGATACTGAATACTTCCATTCCCCCAAGTTTCCCACACCCCTTGGCACAACTTCCCTCCTTACTCCCGGCTCCTCCAACCTCACACTCACCGAAAGACAACCCCACACTGGACTCTGTCACTACAGATTACTTCGTAACTTGGAGGCCTACGCATAAACATCACACAGCAGATGCTGTTTTGTCCGCATTCTTTCATCCACCATCAATATTTTGAGAAGACTCTCAATTGTGCACCAGTGCCATCCCACTGATGGATATCTGTGTTGTCTCTCTCTAGCTTTTGGCTATTACAAACAGCTACTATGAATATCTGTGTACAAATCTTGAAGAAGCCTGGGTCATATGGTAGGAGTAAGTCTAACTTTTAAGAAACTGCCAAACTTCTCCCAAAAAGCAGTGTCTGAGAGTTCTAATTATTCCACTTTCTCGTCAATGTGGTTGCCAGTTTCATCAGAGCCACTGCAATGAGCTGCAGTACTATATCATTCTGGTGCCCTAATGACTCAGAATGCTCAGTATCTTTTCATGTGCTTATGTCTGTCCTTATCTCTTCTGTGGTGCAGTATCTATTCACATCTTTGGCCTGGTTTGAAGTTTATCAATTTTATTATTCTTAAAAGAATCAGATTTTGATTTCATGGGTTTTTTTTTTTTCTGTTGCATTATCTCTGCTTTTAGGTTATTATTTCCTGTCTCCAGGTTACTTTAGATATAAATGTCTGTAAGTATTTTCTACTTTGTCAAGGTAGAAATACAGGTCATTGAGCCTTTTCTCTTGAACACTATAGGTGCTTACTACTATAAATTTCCCTATTCACACTGCTTTGGCTACATTTAACAAATTTTGATATGTTTTCATTTTTCTTTAGTTTATAAAAGACATTTTAATTGTACTTCTCATTTCTTCTTTGACTCAGGGGTTGTTTAAAATATGGTTTAGTTTCCTGGGCTGGGGTTGTGGCTCAAGTGGTAGAGAGCAACTGCCTAGGAAGTGTA